GGGCGGGGGGAGCGGGGAGGCCCCGCACGCGGCGCGCTGGGGAGAAAAGGCTGGAGGAAGTCGCGGGCTCCGGTCGCCTCCCTCACTAGCCTCGCGTCTCCGCCCCCGTCTCTCAGGAACGTCCTACTGGGAAAGATGCCAGTGCTTCTGATCTCCGTTCCGCTGACCCACCCAAATGCCTAGGGCTGGGGCATGAACCACTGTGGCCCCTGTGGGCTCATATCGCCTGGCTACCGCCCAGAGCTGATAAGGGGATCCAGTGACCAGGACCCTCCACCTTTGTCCTTTAACCACCTCTTCCTACCGTAGCCTTCCGACGGGGTGGAGAGGGCAGAGGCTGCTTTCTGATTTTGTTTGGGGTTAGCGTGTGACGGTCAGCACACAGGAGGTCATTCTGGGCTCTCATGTTTTCAGCCTTGTCTCCTAATACATTAACTCAAAAAGGGACGGAATCCATCACCTGCCCTCTGACCGTCACCCCTGTCTCTATTTTCAACTCATCCTTTCTTCTGTTTCCCAAAACCTCTGCCAAGTTGTAGTGAAGGGGGTAGGGTTGGGAGGTGAAATCCGCCCATAATGGGACAGAGTTATTGAGGGCTGAGGTTGATATGTCAGAATTTCCAGAGAAAGACTAGCACTCCTGCTTCCTGCAGCACCCAGAGCTAGGGGCTGCTGCCCCAGGCCCCAAAAGAATGAGCCTCCAGTGGGCCTAAAGGGAACCCCTTGGCCTCCACTAAGTCCTGCCTGCCTGCCTCCCACCCTCACTGTGCCCTACATGTACTTGCCCTCCCCCCCCATTTCTCCAACTTGTTTACTCCAACATGGCCCCTGTCCAAACACCCCTCCACAGTCCTTGTGGCCTGACGGGGTGGGGAAGCAGGCAGGTATATGGCCCTTGCCTCTCCAGCCAGGCCAGGCACAGACTACAGGGACAGAGGCACTGACCAGGTAAGAGCAGCAGTTGTGGGAGCACCCAAAGAGGACCAGGTTTTAATTGTGGGGAGAGAAGGGACCAGGTTGGCGTGGGCACCTAGGGAGGGGTTGAAGCCGTTCAGCTTCAGTGTCCTCCCCCACATCCATCTGTTCCCAGGCCACCACCCCACTGTTACCACCATGAAGCTGCTTGTAGTGACGGTGCTGCTCCTCACCATCTGTAGACTCGAAGGTGGGTGGGATATGGAGTGGGGTCCCAAGGAGAAGGTGCCAGGGGTCCTGGCTGCCCGTCTGTCAGTTCTGTGCCCAGATCTGGCAACCACAGGGTTCAAAAAGAAGACTGTTCCCTCCCTAAAGCCCAGAAAGCCTGTCCAAAGGCCTGGAGTAGGAGACCTGTTTGGGGCTGGGTACTGGCAGTGGTGTAGTCGGAGGCCAGGACTCATTGTTGGGGACCAGCTGAGGATAGGTGTGTGTGTTTCCGTGTGTGTGCAGGAGCCTTGGTCCGGAGACAGAGGAGATAGATCTGCAGAGCCTGATCTCTCAGTTCTGGGAGACTGTGACTGATTATGGCAGCGACCTGGTGAAGGTCAAGGGCCCCGAGGTCTAGGCCCAGGCCAAGTAAGTTTCAACAAGGGGGGTTCAGGGCCCACAGAAAACTGAGCTTGGGGTGGGGAGAATGAATTTTGAATTGTAGAACAATTGCCTCATCCCCCTGTGCCCGTGTGGGCCACAGCAGCTGGGCTATGGATTTGTCTCCAGGGTGTATTACTCTGCCCAGCAGAGGGCTTGCCTCTTCTCCTACGAGGGGACTTGGGTCTCACCTCCCACCACCACCAAGGCCCTGCCAGTGCCTTTGGTCTCTCACACTGACCTTTAACCCTCATATGTCTAGGGGGTACTTGGAGGAGACAAAGAAGCTGGTGAAGAAGGCTAGAAGTGATCTGATGAGCTTCTTCGATTACTCTGTGGTATTCCAATCACCGCCAGACGCCCATCCATTGCCAGCTGGCCCCTAGAACACCCTCTGGCCAGGCCTCCAACCCTTCTCCCTCCCCACTCCTTCATTCTACAATAAATAGTAAAGGAGTCCATGGTGAGCTTTTCTGAGGATGGGAGGAGAAAGAAGTCCAGCAGGAGGAGGCTTTGGGTGTGAAAAGGGTGGAGAAAGGGCCCAAGAGACAAATGTTGGAAATGACAGCATTGGGTGCCAAGGAGTCTTCTCCAGGCCTGGGACCAGCTCTGATGGAGAGGAGGAGCCTTTGCATGGACGCAGAACTGTGAAAAGGCACGAAATTGATGAACTGAATCCCTGCCCTGTGCAGGTCACAGGAAATGAGGGCTCCCTCAGGATGTCCTCTCAATCATTCTATGAAGACAAAGCCTCCAAAAACTGAACCCAGAGGCATCACCCAAGTCCCTCCCTTCCCTTCCGAGCCAGGGGAACATTGCTCACCCCCATTCCATGGTCTACAGTAAGAAGTGGGACGCACTTTCTCCAAACCACTCTCACCTGGACCCCTACCTAGAACACCTTTCCACACCCCTCCCCACTTTTATCTGGGTGCTGTCATAGCACTGGCCTGGTGGCCATCTGAGAGCCTGGAACCAGCCAACATGACAGCCAGTTCAAAGCCCTACAGGCCTCCAACTCGCTGGGCATGTGGGACTGGAGCTACTGGGAGCCACAATGCCTGGGTTCAATCAAAACAGAAAGGAAAGCGGGCTGGGTAGATGTGTGAGGCTCACGATCCCAAAATTAGGGCAAGGAAAACATTTTCCAGTAACTTATTCCCACTTCTAAAATAGTTGCCTCCCTTCCCTGACTCACTTCTCATATCCCATCTGAAATCGCCTTCAGACAAGACTGCAGTCTCCTGCATAATGAGTGACCTTGGGTCTGGCCTTCACGGCCCTCACCCCTCATGACCACCTTCCTCCCCTTCTTTCCCAGGATCTGTGGTTTTCTTGTGTGCTAAAGCATACAGGGACAGATCTCAGTCTGTTACTTGCAGAATGGTCTTGGACAGGTTAAACTTCAAAGAGCCCAAATCCTCACAGTGAGCAAATGGGACAAGGAGCTGGAAAAACATATTGACAAGTGTGAGTCACTGTGAGAGCAAAGTACTGCCCAGCATGGTGGCCGGGGGATGAACCGAGACCCATCTGAGAAGGCTTCTGAGTCCGATGCAGGACTGGCCACATCGGATGGGGGCCAAAGACTTTCAGCCATGGCCAATGTGGCTCGGTTGGAGTGTAGTCCCATATGCCAGAAGGCAGAGGATTCAATTCCTAGTCAGGGCACATACCCAGGTCGCAGATTCTATCTCTGGGGTCAGGGCACATGCAAAAGGCATCCAATCGATGTTTCTCTTTCTCTAAAAAGAAAGAAAGAAGCCCTGGCCCGTGTTCTCAGTGGTTAGTGTCGGCCTGCACACTGAAGGGTTGCTGATTCAATTCCCAATGGAGGGCATGTACCTGGGTTGCAGGCTTGATTCCTGGGGTTGGGGCACATGTGGAAGGCAACTGATTGATGTTTCTCTTCCTCTCTCTCTCTAAAAAGCAAGCAAGCAAACAAAAAACTTCCAGGGAATCCCATCTCCTGCTGGAAATGACAGGTGCTGATGACTGGAGTTCCTTCTCTGCCCACCCATGTGCTCAAGGAGCTTGCCTCCCATCTGGACCTGACTTGTCCCCTGTGTCTTGCCCACATCCAATCCCTCCCTGGCCCGCTAAGGTCTGTCTGGTCCTGGGACCCACTGAAAACTCACTGTTCCCATACAGCCTTCCTTTAGGAGCGTCACAGGGGCCTTCATCACACTGTCCCTCCTTCATCCCTGACTTTTTGGCCAGGCTAATGCCCATGGACACTGAGCTGCCCCACACGACTCCCAGACTCCCACTGTGATAGATTGGAGGTTGGGCAGCCAGGTTTTCCCACAATCCAGAAGTCATTTCTCAGGTTCAAATGTCTCTGAATGTGCCCAGAGTCCCAACAGAAGTCCCTGCTCCAGGCCCATGCTAGAGACCCTGGGGAGTCAGGTCTCATCCATCCCCCTCACAGGTAGCATTCACCCCTCAACCAAGCAAAACAGCCTGGTGTTTGACACTGTGAGCTCTGTAGGTCAGGAATGGAAATCTGTCTTACTCCCAATGGCATCTTCAGTATCCAGTCTAGTGCCTTGCAGAGCTAAGGATGACGAAGGAATGAGTGAGTGAGCGGAGTCCAGTCTGTGGCGGCTTTATTGGTGCTACCCCCTTCCCATTTTTCAGTGAATGTTGGGAGTAGGGAGAAGGGTGCTGTCACGGGGAGACTAGAATACGAACATTAATGAGTAGGATCTGAGCATAAGCCTTTGGCAGGAAGGAGGAACCAGTGGGTCCATTCATGGGGGCACAGCATCATTACAGGCGTTGGTCTGTGGGCATTAATGGCAGGAGGCGTATGTGGTGCCAACCGCGGAACTGGGCAGGGAACCGGGAGCAGGAGGAGGGTGTGACCAAGGGCATCTGTCCTACGGTTACTCTGTTGGTTTCTGATGCTTCAAGGTCTCATAAGTCTCCTGGTTCCGGGGGCTCAGGCCCTGGAGGTGGAGGTCAGAAGACAGTGAGGAGCTTGAGGCCATCCCAGGGCTCCCACCCCCCCACACCCCCATAGACCCTGCCCTTCCAAAGGTCACTCAAAATCCACCCTCTTCTGCTGACTTCCTGGGATTGGGGGTGGGCGGGGCAGGCTCACTCACCGTATAAATGCCATCTGACTTCTGTGGAGGCAAAGGAGCAAGTTGTCAGAGACCCACACCTCCTTCAGGGCCTCCCAGCATCTTCTTTTGCACCCAGGGACATATCAGCCAGGAGTGGTGACTTGTCACCTGTGACTTGGCTGGGTGGCAGGGTGGGTAGGGTGAGGTGCAAAGCGGGTCTCTGAAGCTTATACAGGTCAGCACCTGAGCCTCATCCCCTCCCAGGGGCTGCAAACCTCAAGGCTATAGCCCCAGAAGGGCTGAGTCTACAAAATTCTTGACACCCAGGTGTGTGTGTAGGGGGTCCATACCTGATACGCTACAGCTGCCTTTCGCACCTGGATCTGGAGTAGAGGAGAGGTCACTAGTAAAAGCAAGGTTAGTGGTCCATCCCCCTTCTCTCCAAACTTCATGGGTTTCTCCTCAAAGCTACGCTGACACCACTGTTCCCCGTCCTCCCGCCTGCCCCTGCCCTCTTCCCTCCCCACACCTGCCCAGCCTCACCTTGAGTCGACAGTAGAGCAGGGTTAGGATAATCCCGTACAGAAACAGGATTGAATCCAGGATGTAGCAGATCTGAGGATCTCCCAGGGCCTCTGAGGGGAGAGAGGGTGCCCATGGGGACAGGGCGTCAGGGAAGGGGAGGGCCTCTGGGAGGTAGGACAGGCCTGAGGTGGCTCTCCGGGGAAGAAAGTTTACCTTTCTCTCTGATCCCATTCTCTCACCTCGCCCTTTCTCTCAGCCTCGCCTAGCTAGAGGCAGGACTGGGAGCTGCCAGTGGTGGGGTGCTGGAACTCAACGCACTAGCGTTGAGGACTCCCTCCTTCTAGCACTGTGGGTTCCTCAGGCTCCACTGAGCACTTCATAGCCCTCAAGGGACTCATCTGAGTTCACTGGGCAAAGACCAAAACCTCAGCCTGGAGGGTAGGGTGAGGGGAAGGCAGTGACAAATTTCAGTGAAGAAACCACAGGAGTGTCTCTGCTCAGTCCTGTGACCTGTGGCTGCGAGCTGGACAGGAAGGATGTGAGCTGGGGAAGGGAGGGAAGGCAATTACTCTATTATTGGTCATCTAGCCTCAGCGGCATGGCATTCTGCCCCACTGGACACTTAAGATACGTAAAAACAAGGTGTCTGCTTTCCTGGGCCTTATGGGTGCCCAGGGCTCTGTACACAGGGCTCCAGGGAAGGATCACAGCTGTGCGATTCCACCTGGGGTCTCTGTGGTGTCTCTGTGGGACTCTACCCTGTTCCTCACACCCTGGGCCACTGAGAGGAAGTTTGTTCAATTAAACAAATTAAATAGTGTCTGAGCTCCTATCTGCGCCATCCGCCCTGGCCCCTATCACGTGGGCTCCAGGGCGAATGGCTTTTTATTCTGCGTCAGTCTTTCATACTTGATGTTGCATAAATCTCAAAACTACCCTGTGTGGGAAATGTCGCCGCCATCTTACGGATGACGAAAGGAGGCTCAAGGAAACTAAGTAACTCGTTCAGGGCCATGGAGTTAGGTGACAGCTGGAAGGCAGATCCAGGATTTCTGCCTTCGAAGTGTGTGCAGTGTGTGTGCTCTTTCTTCATGCCTCGGGCCGGCTCCCTCATCTCATGGCTGCTCTCTGATCCTTCCGCCTTCACAGCTGGGCTGGCGCAACCTCCCATCCATCTTTCAATTTCCCCAATTTCCCTTCAGTTTCACTCACCCCGTCCTCCCCAAACCCCAGCTGCAACCATCCATCTTGTAAATATTCAGACAACCCTGAGAGCAAGAGGTGAGAGATCATAAACCAATTGCTGCAACCTTCCCATTTCTGCCTCAGTTTCCACAAAGATGTTCAGGTCTCTAGAACTGGGCAGTGCATGCTGCCCACCCTCCTGTCGGTGGCTGGCAGGAGGTGAATTTAATGACGATGTACAGAAGCAGCAATCACGTCTGCTTGACTGCCCTGCCTCACTCCCAAGCACAAGGACAGACCCCTGCCTACCTAAAGCAACTTTATAAATATCACTTAGCCAGCTAGAGGTCAGCTCCCAGTGGACAATGCCAAACGCACCCACAAGAAGCAGCCTTTCCCAGACCAGCTTATGTCACACACTCCCCTCCCTGCCAGCTGGAGCCTTGGGTACGTATCAATCCTAAAAAAGTAACACAGGGACAAGGAAGGAGGAAACTGACTCCTGTGCCCACACAGGCCCAGCCTCAGGGTCTCTGTGCCCAGCTGCCTGCTGCTGATATCCCCCCTAGGCCCATGCTCCCCCACCCACACATGCCCTTGACTCCCACCTGGAAGGCCAGCTCACTGTTCCTCACCAAGCCCTCTCACCTGCTTGTTCAACCAAAAGAAGTAAGAGCAGGACCACTGCTGGAATCATCTTGGGCAGGGCTGAGGGGCGGCAAGCGGGGATCGAAGCTCTGAGAGCAGGGCGGGCGTAGCTGTGCTGGGTGAGCAGCTCCCTGACCACAGAGTTCCCCCCTTCCTGCCACGCCTCCCCCAGCTCTGGCCCCTTCCCCTTCCTGCACTAGAGACCAGGCGGCTCCCGGAAGGGCCAACTAAGGGAGCTGAGCGGTCTGGGCCCTTCCGCCTCAGTCGTCCAGTGACCGAGGCTCTGCCACCACAGAAAGAGGGGACTCCCATGCTTGGGAAAGGCCATGTAACCCGCCTTCGCACACCAGCCCTGTTCAGAGACACATCGGTGATAAACTGCCCCGGGATTCCCTAGGACCCCATAAGAACCTTTTCCCTTCCACCTGGAACATCCCCCCGCTCTGATTTGAGAAGTGCACCAGTTTGTGTGGGCAGCAAGGTCTGGGTGGTGGGGACGCTGAGGGAAAAGAGGAAATGGGGAATGGAGAAGTGGAAAGGACAAGAGTCAGAGAAGGGGCGGAGAGGAACAGGAAAAACTGCTAAGAACTGAGTCTAACAGAGAAGTGCAGGGTTAACAAACACTCAAGTTTCCCATGAAAATGAAAGACAGTGAGATATTAAGAAAGATACCCCAGAGGCTTTGGCATAGGGGCTCAAAGGCAGCTAATTTATTATAATCTCTCCCTCTCTAGAACATGCACAGAAAGCCTGGCAGCTGAGTGTCACGTACACACACACACAGCCCCATTTCCAATGACGACAGGCTCCACACAGGAAGTCGAGAGGCAGGGAGATGAAATGTTGTCCTGCTCACCGGTCGACTTCTCCAAACACAATATCCTGGGTACCTAGGAGGCCGGGAAGGGGAAAAAAGTGCTGTTACCCAGGACCCAGAACTCTATGCCCAAGAGACTGAGGAACAAGCCCAGAGTCTATGCGGAACAGGAAGTGTTCAGATTCTGTCCCCAAACAGAGTCCCAGCCCCCGTGTCTACACAACAGGCCTGTACCTATGATGGCAACAACATCCGCCAGCATGTGCCCCTTAGACATCTTGTCCAAACCCGCCTGCAGATGGAGAGCAACAGCGTCAGGTGAGGTTATCAGGGTAGGAGAGGGAGGTTCGCAGAAATCTCAACCAAGGTCAATCACTAGTGGATTCATTTACTGCAGTCAGACTCATCGGGACTGGTTCTTACCAGGTGGGCAAAACCAGGAGCCTTGATCTTGCATCGATAAGGGCGGCTGCTGCCATCAGACACCAGGTACACCCCAAACTCTCCCTGTCCGAGAAGGAAGGAAGACTGCTGCCATCAGCAGGAAGAAGCTTCCTCTCTGCCACCTGATCCTCTCATCACCCACACCCCCCCCATCGACATCTGTCCCCAGCTGCCCACTCCACACTGTCACTTCCTTCCCCTCCTCTCCTCACCTTAGGAGCCTCGATGGCCGTGTAGGTGGCCCCCGGAGGAACCTGGTAGCCCTCTGTATACAACTTAAAGTGATGGATCAGGGACTCCATAGACGTCTGGAGAAGGAAAGCGGAGCATCGACAAACCAGATCCATACCATCTCCCCCACCATCCCCAGCACAGGAAATAGTCTCCCCTTAGGGAGACTAAGAAATGAGCAGAGAAGACATGAAGAGAGGAGGCTACAGGAGCTGAAGACTCTCGGTGAGCTCTCTGCAAATGGACTGAATCCCAGGATCCTCCTCCCGGGCTGCTGCCCTTAGGAGACCTCCCCTCCCTGGCCCTGCAGCCACCTTCATCTCGGCTCGCTTGGGCGGGGACACTTTAGCATCATCCACCTTGACCTCCCCAGGAGGCATCTTGTTCAGACACTGTGAGATGATTCGAAGGGACTGGCGCATCTCCTCCACCCGGCACAGGTACCTGAGGGAGACAAGACAGGCTCGAGAGAGGCGCTGTCAGAGGGTCAGATGTGACGCCCTCGCCGACCTGAAAAACACTAAGAACTTCCCTCATTCATCTCCTGGCTGAGGACCTGGGTGTGGACTGGCTGCCCACAGAAAGCCTGCAATCTTGATTCTTGTATTGGGCCCGTCCCCAAGTCCTCTCCTAACTTTCTTAGACCCTGTCCTGTAGCACTTCCCTCAGTGATCATCCTCTTAAACACTTTCTGGAGTACGGAATGAGTAAGAGTCAAATAGACTCAAAAAGTAAACAACAAACCTCATTCAAAGTCAGTGAACAGGAAGGGGACCTGAAGCTGAGAATCCAGTGGAAAGAGCCTGGGTCAGGAGTCTAGTTTCAACTTTAATAAATAATCACAGACTAGTCTCTAACCTTTATGCCTCAGCTTCCTCAGCAGTAGAATGCAGCCCACACTAGTTCTAAGATATAAGGATACATGAAGGTAAAACAAGGTGTAACGTATATGAAAGTGCTTTGAAAAGCACCAGTTTAACACACAGGAAAGTAGCTGAGAGGAAAGTTGGGGGACACCAGCTGGACTGTGACCTAAGGGAGGATTTGGCCCTCACCTGTCATAGCAGTCCCCTCGGGAGCCAATCGGAACATCAAAGTCCACCTGGTCATAAACGTCATAGGGCTGGGTCTTCCGCAGGTCCCACTGGATGCCTGAGCCCCGGAGCATCACCCCACTGCAGAGACATGATGGGAACACAGGTTGCTCTCCACAAACCAAGAAAGGCACCCTCCCTGACCCTTAGTCTCCTCGACTCCTCCCCCTGCTCTGGGCGGGACACAAAGAGAGTGTGGCCAGGGAAGTCCAGGAAGCCCACCCCTAGGGAGAAGCCCACTCCTCCCACCTAAAACCGTAGTTAAGTGCATCTTCTGCAGTTACAACCCCAATGTCAACTGTCCGATTTCGCCAGATCCTATTGTTGGTCAGCATCTGTTGGTCAAGAAAACACCTTTCAAACTTAAAACACCTCTGTGTCTCTTTAGCACTGGGGACCAAAACCCCAAAAGTCATTCTTGGGGAGAAAAGAGGGACTTTTCCCACTGACTCCTATCTCACCTCCTCCACCTCATCAATCCGAAGAGAGAAGTTCTTCGAAAACTGATAAATGTCATCCATAAGCCCAAGGGGTAGGTCCTAGAAGCCAAACAGAGGGTGACAGTGAGTACAGCAGAACCTCCAGCCAGGGCCACAGGGTGGCTTTTCTATTAGCCAGCACTGCCCTCCAGTGGCCGCAAAGGACATGGCCCACTCACCTGGTGCACACCTCCAGGACGGACATAAGCAGCATGCATCCGAGCCCCAGACACTCGCTCATAGAACTCAAACATCTGGATAGGACACACAGGGAATTGGTGACCAAGTCCTGGGCCCCTAAGTCTGGCCACAGGGTGGTACACTCCCCTGATCTTAACAAAAGAGTACCTTAAAAACATACCCCAGGTTAGATAACCCTCCCCTCCTGCCAGTCTCATTTCTCTTCACACCTTCTCCACTTCCTCCCCCCTCCCCATTCCCACCCTTCCGTCCTTCGCAAACCTTCTCCCTTTCTTCAAACATCCAGAAGAAAGGGGTCATGGCCCCAATGTCCAGGGCATGTGTGGTCACAGCCATGATGTGGTTCAACAGCCGTGTGATTTCCCCAAACATCACTGCAGAAAGGGGAAGACAAGGAAGAGGCCAAGGATCCAGGCTGACAGTGGTCCTGGGCAGAGCCCAGGATCTGCACACTAGGCCTGGGCAGCGGGAGAGGGCCTGGCATACCTCGGATCCACTGTGCCCGTGGCGGAGGCTGGATGTTCAGCAGTTTCTCCACAGCCAATGAGTAGGCCTGCTCATTACACATCATGGACACGTAGTCCAGCCGGTCGAAGTACGGCAGGGCCTGGGAAAAGGGAAGAACTAGGTCTCCCCTCAGGGCCAGGACCCCTTAGAGGGCAGGATGGATACCCAATCACCAGCAGTGTGTTGGGGAGGGGACCCTGAGTCCCCTTGGTGAAAACACTCTGACCGAGACAACTTTCAGCTCCCCTTGTCACATAACTGAACACAGCTCTGGGCAGCACAGCCATGGGCGGAGTTGGCAGCAGACACAGGAGCAAACACCCCAGAGCATGGCACCGAAAAACATGGTGAGTTCTGAGTACTTCTTACCTTGGTTTTTAACATAATGTAGTAATCATGAACTAAGATAACTTAGTTTTTTTTATTAATAATGTGATTTTTAAAATTGATTTCAGAAAGATAGGAGGGGAGAGGGATAGAGAGATAGAAACATCGATGAGAAAGAATCATCAACCAGCTGCCTCCTGCGTGCCCCCTACCCAAGCATGTGCCCCTCCTGGGAACTGACTGGAATCCAGCAGGGGACCTCTTGGTTCATGGGTCGATGCTCAACCATGGAGCATCAGGCTATAATTTAATTTTAACAATGGCTGTTTTAACTACTAGCTCACAAAATTCCTGAAAATTTAACGATCTGTTCTGTGACCCAGGGTGACCTGGGTCTAGCACCCCACTGCCAACCATCCTGTAGATCGTAAGTCCTAGGGGTCCCTGTCCCTGGGAATGCGGACATAAGAGAGCTGGGATTTGCTTCTGGTAGGAATGGCTCATCCTCCAGAATGCCAGACAGGAAGTCGTGGTGGTAAGCTTCCAGGAAGGAGGCGGAGCTGAGATACCCCTCTTCAGGACAGCCAGTTCTTGTCCTGATGTCATTGTGACGTGGGATAATGCTACAGGGTTAACTCCATAGGCTCTGGGACCAGAAGCCAGCACAGCCTGGAATCTCTAGGGGAAACCACAAACAGTTGGCTATCTCCTATCCTAATCCATCATTCTCTATCAACACCTTTCTTCATGAAAGTAAGAAAAAACTTCAGGTTCCTACCCCAAATCCAAATTCCTTCAACTCTGACCCTCACCACTTGGGTCACACGGTTCTCCTAAAAATGGCAAACTCCGTCACAGACTCCCTCCCAGTCACTCTGACTCACTCAGTATTTTGAAAACAAACTTAAGAGAGCTGGAAGATACAAGAATGAGATGTGAATCCTGGGGAGCTGAAGTCTCTCTCCTCTGTCCCTGGCCCCAGGGACCCTGGCTTTGACATCTGAGTGTGATATAAGAGCAGAGAAACTGAGGCACTACAGGAAGGGCAAAGGGGCAGCCCGAGAAAACCTGGGAGTGCAGCTCTGGCTGCAAAGCCTTCCTGCCATGTGAATCAAGTCCAGATGGTCCAAGTCACGCATCCTCTGCCACAGCTCTCCCTCCTCCCAACCGAGGCTGTCCTCACAACCTCAACAGGCTACTCTCCTCCGCCCCTGGAGTTTTGGGAGCAGCAAGCTGGCAACATCCCAGATCCCGTCCACAGGCCCCTGTGTGCCCACACCTGCAGGTAGGTCTTGTATTCAATGAGCTTCTCGGTGCCTCGGTGCAACAGCCCGATGTGAGGGTCGCACTTCCGCACCATCTCCCCGCTTAGCTCCATCACGAGGCGCAGCACACCGTGGGCTGCTGGGTGCTGGGGCCCAAAGTTCAGGGTCAGGTTCGACACCATTGTGTCCTTTGGAGGATCCACATCTGAGAAGTGGGAAAGAGTTCAGAGCCAAATGGCAATTCCCTTGAGAGCCCCCAAGAGGCAGCAAGGGTTAGCCTCCCCCTATACTCCACACCATGTGTGTTTCCTAATCCTCAGGAAACTACTGGGTGGGAAAAGCTTTCCGATGGAAGGGAACGTAAACCCAGTCTTCCCATGTCACCCAGAATACCCTTTTAATAATAATAATAGCTAACACCTATATGTACCTTATCATGTGCCCCACACTACTCTAAGCACCTTGCTTATTTTAATTAACTCTCACAACCACCACAGAGTATTAGGTACTATTGTTATCCCCATTTTATTGGTGAAACTGAAGCCAGAAAGGATAAGTGACTTCACACCGAGCTAGTGAGTGGCAGAGCCAGGACTGGACTCAGCCTGTTAGCTCCAGGGTCCACACTCTTAACCACCAGGATGCATTGCCCTCCAAATGCATCTGATGATGGCCACCAGGAAAGGGATAGTTCTTTTTTTTTTTTTTTAAGTTTACTGATTTTAGAGAAAGAGGAAGAGAGAGGGAGAGAGAAACAATGATGTGAGAGCAAAACATTGATGGGCTGCCTCCTGTACACCTCCTACCAGGAATCCAGCCCACAACCCAGGCATGTGCCCTAACTGGGAATAGAACCAGCAACCTTTCAGTGCACAGAGGACACCCAACCTACTGAGGCACACCAGCCAGGGCTGGATATTTAATTCTTACTACTATTAAATGACAAGGCTGACCCTCAAGATTACAATTTAATTTGGGAAATACATACATGTGAGAAACCAGTGACACAGATCAAACTGACAAGCTACCAATTAAGTGGCTCAGCCATTAAGAGCTTAAAGAGAAGAAAGAACACTGTGAAGACTTGTAGGACCCAAGCTGGCTCTTAAATAGAAAATGATTCAGAGAGGCAGAGAGGAGACATCCCAGTTATGGAATCAACACAGGTCAAGTCTTACATACAAGGAAGTAAATACCTGGAACTCTTATGTGAGGCAGATTAGTGTTGGCAGGCAGTAGTATCAATAACAACACTTATGGAAGACCTGCCATGTGCCAATAACTACATTAAGTGGCTTATTATTACCTCATTAACTCCTACCAGTAATGCTATGAAGTAGGTACTTTATTAACTGGTAAATGGAGACTTGAGATTTGAAACCAGAGCCAAACTTTTCAACCACAACTCTTCACTGTGGGCTTTGGAGTCAGACAGACCTGAGTACAATTCCATCTGTGTGTCCTTGATCAAGTTTTAATGTCCCTGTACCATAATTTCCTCAAAACTGGGGTAATACTAGAATCAGTCTCAGAGAGTTGTTGTAAGGACTAAGTGAGATAATGCATATAAAACATGTAGTACATGGTAAGCACCAGCTATTTTTACTGTGAAGTTTGTGTTTGTTTTTTTAAAATATATCTTTATTGATTTTAGAGAGAGAAAGGGAGAGGGAGAAGGAGAGATAGAAACATCAATGATGAGAGAGTTGTCATTGATCAGCTGCCTCCTGCATTCCCCTGACTGGGGATGGAGCCCACAACCTGGGCATGTGCCCTGGCTGGGAATCAAACCAAAATCTCCTGGATCCTAGGCAGGTGCTCAATGACTGAGCTGTGTCCAGCTGGGCAGTGTAGTTGTTTTTGTTAATTCTCACCCGAGTATATTTTTTCCATTGCTTTTCAGAGGGAGGGAGGGAGGGAGAGGGAAAGACAGGAGGAGAGAGAAATATTGATGGTTGCCTCCCATATGTGGCCCAACTGGGAAAGGGGAGAGAATTCACAACCAAGGTACATGCCTTTGACCAGGAACTGAACCCTCAAACTTTCAGTGTACAAGCCAACGCTCTAACCACTGAGCACACCAGCCAGGGCTACCTGAAGTTTTTGAAAAGTAACTGCAAGTGCCTTTGAAGGTTTCTGAGCATGAGAATGATTGACATGGTAAGCAACAGTATATAGGATTGCTGGCTGGGAAATAGGTCAGGGGCAGGAACCCAGTGAAGAGGCTCCTGGAACAATCAAGGTCTGATACAAGATAAATCTGAACGAGAGAGATGCCCAAATATAAAACATTATGAAAGAACTGCAGGGCTTCGTCACTCACTGGACACAGACATGGAAGGCAGGAGAGAACACGGAGCTAAAGCTGACTAAAAAGTGTCAATTCTGAAAGATTAGGAGAAAGGCAGTGCCACTGATCAGAATCAAAAAGTCAAAGTGAAAAACTGGTTTTGATGGGGAGAAAAAAATGTTCCTGTTCAGGAAGGTGTCATTTGTGTGACAAGGGAAAACCACCTTGTCCAGCCAGGGAGATGGAAGCACACTAACCTCTGGGAGAAACTGAAGCTGAAGATATAAATTTGGTAGGGACCTTCCAGGGTTGGCTGGGACCTACTCTTCCTTTTCTACTGCACACTCTTCCATTTCTTCTCTCCTTGACAATTACCTACTGTGATCACTATCATCAGGTTTGCTGAACACCCATGCAGGGTGAAAGAATCAAACACAAAGGGGGGGGCTACAACCTGCCTGAGACCGAGCTCAACAGCAAGTACAAATCAGGTTGACAGGGGCTCTGCGCACTCACCATTCCAAGGTGGAGGCTTCCAGTGGGCTGTTTCCTTGGTGGGGTACATGACCGCTCCCCCAAACTGCTCTGCCCATTGCACATCTGGCTGCCACTGCCGGGCACCTCTGAGGAGTTAAACACACAGGGCCGAACAGTGCTTGGTTCCTGTTCCCAGTCTCTCAGGGGTGCAGACCCAGGGAAGGTGTCCTGGATTCTTCACTGCCAAGTCCCCGACACGGGCTAGTACAGCTTTGGCAGAACCAGGTGCACCCCATCCCCCGGACAACTTATCCCCGAATCCCCCCATCCATCACCCCTGTGCACGGAGGCTGCGATCGGGCTCCTCCAGCGTCAGGCCTCACGCACTTTCCCGGCCTGATGAGTATGAACGCGAGGAAGCGGTTCATTCAAGGTCAGCCGGAGACTGACAGAGGGCGCCTGCTGGCTCCTTGGCTCGGCTCAGGTGTGACCAGAGCGACGCACCAGGCCAGCCCGGGGTCACCATTTGTGTTCCTCTTTTAATCTCCTCAAGCGTGTCACGAGTCGCACCCCACCCGTGACAGGGTTCAGGAGAAGCAGCAGAGATAAGGAGAAGGGGACACGATCTCCACGTCTAGGCGCAGGGTCTCCCCCCACTGATTTCACCGCTGGCCTAACAGCTCGAGACCCTCTTTCCTCGGCCAGGGCGGGCGCCGCGGCTCCTGGAGCCCAAGACACGGGCCTGGGCGAGGGGTCACAGGCCCGGGTCACCCTTTCCTAGGAGCCTCAGTGGCCGTGGAGTCCCCAGCCTTGGGGTCAGCACGTCGAGGGGCTGCCCTGGGTCTCACCTGCTGGGCTGCACCTGCAGCCGGCACCCAGCGCCGGGCCGCAGCACCAGGGCCGCAGCACCCCCGAAGCCGCGCAGAGCCCTCAGCGCCACCATCTTGCCCGCTGCGGCCGGCGGGGAAGGATTGAGCGGAAGTCCCGCCTGCGCACCTCCGGGCGGAAGTCCCGCCTGCACGCACCCGGGCGGCTTCGCGCTTATCGGCACAGCGCGGCCGCCATCTTGGGGGCTGGCGGGGTTGCAGACCCGAACCTGAAGAGATCCGGTTCTGCGCCTCGGCCGCGCTGTGGCTTGAATAACAGGGACTGAGGGCAGCCGTCCCCACGGCTCCAACCCGAGGGACCTTGCGCGCTCCCGCCTGCGCCGCCCCTGCCCTCCTGGGGTCGCCCCAGGCTTAGCCAGTTACCCCGCCCCGAAAGCCAGCTAGTTCTCGGATGGCGCCCGTGGCTTACGGAGAAGTGGCCCGAGTGGGGCTGGGCGCGCAGGGCGCCCGATGCCAAGGCCACCAGCACTGGCGCCCCGCGGGGGTGATGGAGGGGCGGTCCCCCAGAGTGGCCTCCTGTCGCCAGACCCAGCAAGGGCCCTCGGGATGCCCCACACCCACTGCCAGCCGGGGCCAGTCGCTGTCCCCTCGTGTCTTCCGGACACGAGGCTCAGTCCTGGCCAAAGCCACAGAAATGCGGTTACTGCCGGGCGTGCGGGCCCCGCTCTGTGTGGAGAAGAGGAGCCCGCAGCCCTGGCGGCGCTTCCGCTCGTCCCCGGCCCCCGGCGGCCCTGAGCCGCAGACAGGCCCCCCGGGGTGCTG